CGTATCTATATTAAACCAACACAGGACAATAATAAGGCAAACCCTTAATCTTTCATTCATTTGATTTGGAGACTGCCCAACTCCCAAAAGATTCTGAGCAGCTTACAGTACACACGAAGAAAAAACACCCAACACATTAAAAAGTATGCACACCTGGAAGAGTGAAACAACCAAACATGCCCCAACCCAACAAAAATTAACCACGGCTTGGCATCCACCCTAATCTCAGGCCTGGAAGCAGAGCCATGTTTTGAACAATCTTTGGAACAGCTGAAGGGTGGGAGCCATACAAATCTCTAGGAGGATGCTGTTCCAGAGCACAGGTGCCACAACAGAGAAGCCACACTGCTTAGGTATATGTAAAGTGTCCCCTCCATTGTTTTTATCTCTTCAGTATAATTAAGTTTATAGTTGTTCCTTTTAAACTTTCCCTGAGGAGTCTAGTAAAGATGTTGAATTAATCTCATTTTAAGATTAAAATAAGCATTAATATTTTTAACGCTTTTAGTGGTTCAATTTTTCAATATGGGGTATTCCAACTCTTAATTCCAGGATTCTTGCAAACAACTAATATCCACCTTAACAGTGTTATTTGTTTTAAAAACACTGGCTGTAAACCTTCCATAGCATTTTCAAGTGCCAGAAAAATGTTCTAGATCTCAGTACTTAATTCTGGGAGTTGTACAACTGGATATTTTATTCAAAGCTTTCTGAGCTCTTTCTGCATGTATATTGGATTCACAGCCTTATAATTTTGAATTCAAAGTGATTCCCTCAAGTTATAAATCCATGGATTTAGGTTTAGTTATAGCTTGACAGCTGAAAACATATTATTTCAATTGCTTATTTTACCTGATCCTTGGTGAGGAACTATTTTATCTTCGACCTGAAGGAATTATCTAGGAACAGCTAATACATTCTGTTACCTTCAAATTAGTCTAAGGAATGTCATAATATTGAATGAATATGAATTGAATGAATAAATATGCATTTTTATCATATGAACTGGCCATTGAGAAACTTGTGAAGGAGAAATTGAGAATATTGCCTCTGAAATTTTCTGAAGGCTATGATTCTAGTACAGTAGAAAATAAACTTCTCTGAAATCATATTTGTAAGTAAAAGTGGATAGGGTTGAAGTATAAATATCCTTTTCGATTTGTATGGAAGATCATTATTAAGGAAAACTAGGTTCCAATTCTGAAAACTCTCATTTTCAAAGTGGGCTGAAGATTTTTCTGTATGGTGAGTCACAATTCATCTTTAAGGAGATTTGGAAGTAAATGCAGTGATTGGTACACAATTTACAATATTTTAATCAGTCACTATGGCTGCTGAAATTGGAGGAGAGGGTTGAAAGTTGTTCTCTCCTGTCCAATGTCAGCGCTTGGCAGTAGTTGTCATAGCGTGCGCCTTGCTTTGGCAGGCTATCTGTTTGGATCCTGAACATAGAAAGAGATTTTGTACAGAAGGAAAACAAAATCTAATTACTATCTATAGGAAGTTGAATGATTTTTCCAGATTGTTTATTTCCTTGCCTTCAGTGGTTGAAGCCATTAGTGCTAAAAGAGGTGTCGCCAGTTGCTAAATCTAAAGCTTCACATATTTTTTCCAACAAAGACAGTAAACATTGGCTCAGTGTATTCAATAAAGACATGACATAGTGCACTGTTTGGGGTGTTGCTTGTTTAATCAGAACTTTATTTATTGCAGGACTTAAAGGAAGCTGCAGGTCGCTATACTGCAGGATTACAGATAGTTCTAAAGAGTTCACAAACTTTCACGACTGTACCTTTGTTTAGACAAATATCCTATTCTCATCTGCAATTCAGACACTCAGTTAAGGCAGAAACTTGATCAATTATAGAAGAGCAACTCCCTTTTCCTTTTCTTCCTCTAAGATGTACATTGGTCAGCAACGTGTATTCTGTCATAAATTCTTTAAGAACGAGCTCTCTACACTTTCTCTTCTTTCATCTTTTCAAAAGCTACAGGGAAGATTGAGCTACACACAGTCCCTTTTTCCTCCTGTGCCCCAACAGCTGATAAATTACACTACATTTGTTCTACTGCAGAGTGAAATATGAAATCACATAAAGCTGTCTCACTTATTAGATGGTTCTCAGCAAGCTGCTTATTATGCATTGTGGCATAATGCAGATTACAAACGTGACGAAATGATAATTAGCAAAGCTGGAGCAGCAATTAGCGTTCTTCTGCTGAGTGCTGATTACCTTTCATAGTAGAAAAGCAGCTGAACAGTTTGCAAACCTACAACTTCCCTGACTCTAAACACATCAAGAAGTGCCCCAACTCTGCCTCCAGGGATGAGTTGTGGTGAACCAATTTCCATCTTCCAAGACAAATTGACTGTCCATAGTTCTTTGCCAAATGTCTTGCTGCATTATGCGAGAAGGAGGGAACATCTGCTCAGGATTAGAGAATAAGGATTTCTGGAGCAGCTGATTAGGTTCATTTTCTTTTCTCCCGAGCAGCAGGCAGAAGTATCTGCTCTACTCTCTCTGGTGGAAAAATCTTGACCTTCAGCTGGCGGTGTTGAGACTCCATTTGGGGTGCCCTTACAAGAGAATCAACCTAGTATGCAGTGTTGGAATCAACATTGCTTCCTTTAAGAATATTGTCAGAACTACTTTGAAAAAGAAGGGAAGTAGTATGGTTTCTTAGATTAGTGCAGCCTTTCCTAGCCTGGGAACCCTCACATATATGGACTTCTATTTCCAGAATCTCAGCAGTGATAAAGCTGTTATAAGGTGTTACTTCTAAGCTTGTGTTCTGACTTGGGTGAAGGGTCTAGCTGCCTCCACAGGTATTGTTTTTGTGCTCAGATACCTAGAATTTCTGCTTAGCTGAGAATAGGGCACCATGTTTATCCTTCATTCCCTGTGCCATTCTTAAGCAGAGCAGAAAGCTAAATACATCAACATGCCTCCACAAGTATATTCAACAGGGTCAAGGATCCTGTTCAGCAAAATGTAAGTTACTCCACTCCCCTTGTACACAAATACATGCAGACAAACTCAAGGAGAAAGAGAGTTATGTTATGCTAAGAAAATCAGAAAGAGAGCAATTGCCCTGCAAATAGGAGCTTACGTCAGGGAGTTTGCACATCAGAGGTATGGCTTACTGCCCTTAAAAAAAATAGGTTATAGCTTCTGTTATCTGCCTGGACAAACATAGCCAGCTTGATCACTGCAGATTAAAAAGGCAGACAGTATTAAACGTTGATCAGATAAGATCGGCTTTGTTTGGCTGGCTGTCCAGAGCAAAAATGTACACAGAAGGAAAAGGGCCTAATGCAGGCAAGCAGGCAGTGACACTCTGGGTGATTTTTTTTTCCTGCTGTGTTAACTTGACTGGAAGTGAAAATCCATTCCCAGAGCTCAGCAGTGCCTACATTCTTGGGCACCGAACCTTGCCAGAGGGTAGGCAGCTGTTTCCCTCAGTTATTGCTTATGTGATGGGGGAGATTTAATGAGATTGTGTGCACTGAAGGATAAATACAAGCATTTTCCCCCTTCCTTGTCCAGCAGAGGCCCTACCGGGCTTCGTGATAATTCCACCATCTTCTAGACGAAGCTGTACCTGTCATTTGAAGGGGTTTAATAAATTAGGGTTGCAAATTTTCCCCTCCTCAAAAATGTTTGCAGAAAAAATGTATAGATGCTCTTCTGATGTTCTGGACAAGCAACACTGAGCATGCAAGATTCAGCTTGCTCTGTTTCACTGTGTTTAATTGCTTCATAAAAAGAGAGTGCAGCTCTATGTGTGAGAGAGAGAGACAATTTGCAGCAGCTAAGGATAATCTGGCAACTGTTCAAAAACAGAATTAGCTTGAATGAGAGTGTGTGGCTGTTGGCAGTCATGTTCCATAAATAACCCCTGATTTTATGGTCACCAATACTCATGGGAAAGAGGGTGCAGGTTATCTTTTGGCAAAGGGGGTGCTTTGGGCTCATCGGAGACCAAAAAGCCAAGCTATGATCTCCAGCAAGCCGGCAGATTTCCCAGAGTGACATCTTGAAGGCTTTATCTCCCTGGCTGGAATGTGTCTGCACTTACCAAGAGACACTAAGGCCATCACTTAACTGCAGAGTGACATGTCATGCAGTTCTTGAATTAACTGATGATGTGAGGGACAATGATAGCCAAATTGGAAGCCTTGTTCTATGAGAAGAGTGCACTCTTATGTGAGCAGCTAGCTTCCTTACACTGCAGCTCATGTTTTAACCTAGAAATCTATTATCTTTCTCTGGTGGATGCTTAAATTGGGACAGCAAGATTGTCTTGCTATATATGAGAATTGGTTCCCTGGGCTGGGCGAATAACAGTATAGATACTTGCTGATGGGGAATCACTAGAATCTGCTGTACAAGTGCTTTTTCCACAGGAAAACCCAGTCCTTAACCAGGCGGAAGTGGAAATTCTGTTTTGAGATTATACCACATTGGACTTTCATGTGTACCTTCAGATGGAAAACCTAGATGTCAAGGAGAAAGTTCTATATGTTAGTCTTTACCTATCATGCTAATTTGCTGTGTGTAAGAATCCTGTTATCAAGGAGGAATATTAAAATCCTATCTGGAGTCTAAGGTGGTACAATGCAGGCATAAACTTGTCTGCCTAGATTTTTACCTTTTTCCCTCCAAATGAATATCCATTGGTTTGGAAACATAGCACAGAGACAGGTGCTGGAGAAAAGATAAAGTTTGTGTATTGAATTGAGAGGAGGTGTTCTTGAGAAAAGGTTATAGCCTTTTCCATGGCTGGCCAGAATGGCCAAGTCAAAATATCAAGATTCTGTTCTTCATTGATAAATGTATTAGATAAGAACTTACTTACAACCGCTCCTGAAGATAAGGTCAAGGGTAGGACTTGTGAAAATGCCCTAGTTTGGGAAGATACAGGTGGTGGGGGGACCCAGGGGACCCTCATTCATAGATATGCATCAGTTGTGACTGCTTTATTTTCTATTTTTCCAGATGGAGTCTCCCGTGTCCACCCCTGCAGTGCTACCCCTGCATCTTCTTGTCCCTGTTGTTAACAGTGATATCTCATCACCATGTGAACAGATAATGGTACGCACTCGCTCTGTAGGGGTGAACACCTGTGATGTGGCACTAGCTACTGAACCAGAGTGCTTGGGCCCCTGTGAACCTGGCACCAGTGTCAATCTGGAAGGCATCGTATGGCAGGAGACAGAAGACGGTAGGTGTCCTTTAGTATACTTGTTTTAGACCAGTGCTTGTCACTTGATGGATATAATGCAGTAGATCATACCACCACTTTAATTTGCAGTTTTAACCTCTTGCATGTATGTATACTTGCACAGTGTTTTATTCAATGTTCTAGAGTTAAAAAGATGAATTTATTGATTTGAAGCTTCATTTATTCATGAATCTGTCCTTCGTTTAAAGCTTGTATTAACTTTATATTTTCTAAAGCCATCTTTCCAAGTCAATGTTTAGTTCAAGCTCTTTAACATTTGCACTTTTGGAGACAGTGTAGAAGTTTGTGAGATGTATAAATATTCTAAATTGGAGAGAAACTCTGATTTCCGTTTCAAAAATGAATGAGTACCCTTTTTTGTTTCATAAGCTCGGGTGTCCTCTTCCACCAGCTTTCCCACTTTATCTTCAGCAGACTGCGATCCACAAAAATGTGTCTTTAAGATACCATAAAACTCTTTTTTGTTTTTGCCTCGAGATTAATGCAACTACCCCATTTAGAAACTTCTGAAGAGGTATGATTTGCCTTGGCAAGGAGCCAGTAATAATTGGGAGATAGTCAATTATCTTCCGAGAGAATGATACCAAGAAGCATCTTGCTGAGATGCAAAATGCATATCCTTGGCTGTTACTGATCCATCTTGATATGATGCCAGGCAGAGTGGAATTGACAGATTCTGAGAGGTTATAATTTGGAAAGACAAAGACATGCTGACAAATGTTCTTTCCAAACTTACTTGGCCTGCACACTTGTATCTCCAGGAGCTTGTGTGAAGCTGAATGATTAAAGATCAGAACCAACTATCTCATCACTGAGCTTTATCATCTTTCTGTTATATTTGGGTTTCCATTGATTGTTTTCTTTTTCTCTGTTACTTAAAAAAAATTCCAGTGAATATGGGAACCTGCCAGACAGAATGAAACAAAGATAGTAAGCCCATACATGGTTTTCTTACTTTCACCATTTGATAGCTCATTTAAATGTCAAGTTGAGTTTAGGTGGGCGTTCTCTTTGTTGTTAGTGGCAGTTCCAAATATCGAATCCTGACCTGTTGATCAAGGGAAGGCCCAATCCATAGACAAATTGGTCTGCTTTTGACACTGGTGCTTGCATCTGCCTACTAAGCCCAAGCTCCGACACCCTACCAGAACTCCTGAAATTGTCAAGAAGGTCTGTATGCTGATCAGTATCTAGTCTGTCTTCCACATGTGTTTCAGAGAAAACAACTTCAGGAGGCAAGTGAGAGAATACTCATCCTGTGCCGCTTGTTACCATCTCTAATGTGTTTGCAGCATTAGCCTTTTCTGGAACAGCTATAATTTCAGATCTTGTCTAGGAGTTACTCTGTGATTCCTGCAGCTTAACTATTTTTAGCCTGCAGAGTTGTAAATGTAAATGTGCAGAGTTCTTGTCTACCACATTATTCCAGCTACGGCATGGTCCATACTGTCAGAAATAAAATAACTCTCACAACAAAGTCTTTGCATCCTTTAGATCAATTCTGAACTATTACATCATTGTGTGTGTTTTCTAGTTGTGCATTTGGCAAGATTTTGGCTCCCTAATTAACAATGGTACTTGGATTTCAGGTGATTGTTTACAATTTTGCTAAATGAATGCATTTCTCTTATGTGCTGTATGATGCTGAGCCAGAAAACAAATCTGTGAACACCAGGAATTTATATCTTCCTTTCCAGTTATTACTAAAAGGAATTGGGAAATTGCCATTTTTATTAAAGAATAAGCACACAGAAACTGATTTTTGACATGCAAGCACGTTTCATCTGTATCCCAAATCTCTTTTTAGCTTGCACATTCCTTTTGCTGTCCTGGAGTTCTTGATTGATCAGTAGAAGTCAAAATGAAAAAATCAGGTTAGCAAAAAGGCAAGAAGTGGCCATCATGCTTATTTCACAAGACCCACTGAAATTTCCCCATTAAATGAATTAAGTATGTATATGGGAAAGTGTCAGACACTCAGTCTACACTCCCAGTAGCACTCACTAACCAAAGGCTATTTTATAAATAGACAATTAAAGAATTCCCACAATCCTTGTTCATTTACTTTTGTTGTCTGTGGCAAGCAAGTCTTTTTTCTAGGTGAGCAAGCAGGAAACTGAAAAAAACTGCTAGTTCTTCTCTCTCCCTTTAGTGTGCCAAGTACCACTAACAACATCAATATTTGAGTGGCAAAGTGAATATTCTTTAATGCAACTGTTTGCATGGTTGGGCTACTTACCTAGAGACCTAGTTCAGACATAATGTTAGACACAGGGTTCGTTTTCAACTAACGAATTCGTCCCTTTTTGCCTTGAGTCTAAAGGATCCCCTGGTTACACAGAAGGGCAAAGAAGTGAAAATGTTTCCTGGGGCACAGATAACACTGGTTCAGAATTCCTAACAGCTATATTTGTCTCTTCAGAAATTATTGACCTCTGTGAAAGTTGTAGCACTTGTCCTTGCAGCTCCATAGGCAGCTTTTTCATGGCCATCTGCTCTTTCTGCTGAGTAAACAGACTTCTAGCTACAGTACTGCTTGTTCTGCTCACCTGCCTTCCACAGAAATATATTGTGCTGAATAACTGTAAGGATATTGTTAAGACATTGCTCTTGTAGTAGCTTCTCTAATTCTGTTCTGTGTGATTCTGATCTGCTGAGATCATTAATGGATTTAATTATACTGAAATGCAGCCCTCCACTCGCTGCCTTGCCAGCCACCAGGTTCCCATTTCCTCTTAATTGTGATGAATGCCATCTGGAGTGGAGCCAGTAATGGAAGAGGGGGGCTTTCAAGGTCCCCAGACCTGCTCCATGTTGGAAGCAAACCCATTTCGGCCACCTTCAAAGACTGAGGCTTGAAGTACCATTACCACTCACCTGGGAAATGTCTCAGCCAATAGCATTAGGGCTTGCAGTTAAAAAAACCCCATTGTCTGACACTGAGATCTTCATAGCAACAAGGATCACTGCATGGCAACAGCAGCTGCTGCACAAAGGAACCATCAGAAGCGTCTTCCTCCAAATCTCTCTCCTTCCCTTTTATCTTGCGGATGAGAAGCACTCTGGGTTGCAATATTTCCTTTTTGTTTTGAGAGGTATACATTTTCTCTGAAAGAGGGCAGGCAGTTATGTCAAGTCTCCGGTGGAAAGAAAAGGGGGAAGACTGTTGCCATTGTAGCTCATAGCAGCCCTTTGAATTTTGCATAATTAAATTCTGCCGCAAGAGCTTAAACTTAGTAGTGATGGAGCTTTGGTGTACAAATTGGAGAGTGTATTCCAATTTGAAAGCATTGGTAGCCATAGTTGGAACTGTTTTAATACCTTTTTTATTAAATAAAACCCTCGTCCCCACCTCCATTGTGTTTAATGGTGATAGGCAGTGGGAAACTGTAAAATTTGTGAAAGAAAATACTTAAAAGAAAGAATAACATTTCTCAAGCTACTATTTCTCTTTGTAGCAATGGAGACCTGTGGCTTTTTTTTTTTTTTATTTTATGGGGAAGAAGAAATAATCCAGTCCAGTACTGGGGTTGAATAAACAATGTTCATGTATTCAGAGCTAGATGCTTTAATAATAATTTGAACTTCTAGGCTTGCAGTCCAGTAGGTGCAAAACCCAACAAAATTGCCAAGGTTGAAACAAGCAAATGAAATTTATATTTAAAAAAAGAGAGAAAAAATGTGAGTGACATCAGAGGCAAATGTTTTTCCTTTAAATAAAAAGGAAATAAAATCCTCTTGAACTTTCCCAATATTGACAAAGTGATCCGATTGGTTCATTAAGACTCTTAATGATGCTGGTTTGCAAACAGAAGCACAAGGTAAAAAGAAAGTTTTTCCAATAAAATGGCCACTTGCATTTTGGGCAAATTTATGCTCCCATGAGAAGTGGTTCTTTGACAGATCATGCCTGAATACCACAGCAGTTGCTGAGTTACAGGTACATAACTGTAATTATGTAGGAAAGCAGTAGATTTTTGGTTTGAAAATACCAAATGGATATAGTATTCTCTCCCTGAACAGCCCAGTGATAAAATGGCTGCAGTTTGGAAACTCTGATCAGACCAGCAGGTACCAACCCAAAGAATTCTGGCTCGGCAGTGGAACTACTGCCTGTTTTTTGGATGACCAGTTATACCTTTTTGGCCCTATTAACATCAAGTTTTTATTCTGGCTTGCTTTACAAAGTGCTCTTTAAAAGCATAAAAAAGCAGAGTCCCCACCACAACTTAGTAGGTTTTAAATAAACTGTCGGGATCATTATTCTGAATGTGGCAGTCATAGTTGGCCCCAAAATGCTAGCGCTTGCAGGAAATGGCTCTTCCCCTTCTCTCCCCCTGCTTTTTTCTCCAGCAAAGGTGGTGGTTCTTCAAAGGCAGACAGGGTAAAAGGCTGCTTTGCAAATCACCTTCCATTTCATAAAATAATTCTGTATTTATTTGCTGGGAGGGATTTTTTCCCCCTCTGTGTGTGCATGATTGATTGAGATAGGTTAAATCTAGGACACGGTGTGTCAGGCAGGAGTTACAATTAGTCTTGTGCTTTGTTTGGTTGCCAGAGCAGCAGGCAAAGGAAGGGGGGCAGTTCAACCACCACTGAGGTCTCTGCTTTACAGAGCTCTTCATCTTTCTCCTGTGATCATGGCAGCAGGCAAGCTGCCAGGACGTCCTTCCTAATCTGACCTGCCAGCACTGAGATGGAAGCAGCTGCTGGCGCATTGCCACACAATTAACTTGTAAGGCTCTGCAGGAAAGCAGTGTGTGAAGCCTAAGCATGAAACTGTACAAAGCAGTCTTGCCTTGAAAAGCTGGTGCCTCCTGCATGATGCTGACACCTGCAGGAAGACAGATTCCAAAGTAGAGAGAGAGATATTAGGATGAGTGGAAGGTCATCTTGGCAGCCTACGAATCAGCAAGACGAGCTCTCTAAGGAAGACAGGGTGAATGGAGAGGAAAAATCTGTTTACCCCCCATCTAAGC